CCAGGATGGTCTTGATCTCTTGACCTCTTGATCCACCCGCCTCGGCCTCCCAAAGTGCTGGGATTACAGGCTTGAGCCACCGCGCCCGGCCCAGTTTTACCTTTTAACTTATTCTCAACTAAAATCTATAAGTTCTGTTTTTACTTTTTGTTATACCAGTACAAACAAAATCAGAATAATAAACCTCCATGGACCCATCACCTGGCTTTAACACTTAAGGTTCTGGCATTCTTGTTTCATATACTTTCAGCCGTTCCCCAACCTCCTACCTGAGTTACTGTTTTTTTGAAAAGTTTTTTGGTAAAATTTACGTACATTGAAATGCCACAGATGTATCCATGCGCATCCACATAAATATTTCCACATCTTCAGAACGTTCCCTCCTGTCCTGTGCCAGTCTCCTGTCCACCCTAGGCAGCTAGTTTCCTAATTGTTTTTTAAAAAGTAGATTAGCCAATTCTAGAGCTTGGTGTATATGAATGGAATTATATGGGATGTACTACTGTATCTGGCATCTGCTTGGCATTATGTCTGGGATATTCATGTAGTATATGATAGTAATTTATTCCTTTGAATTGCTGAGTATTCCAGTGAATGCCTATATCATAATTTGTTTTTCTGTTATCTTGTTCAAAGATGGATATTTTGGTTGCTTCCAGATTTTAGTTAGTATAAATCTGCTGTCAATATTCTTGTATACAGTAACTTTTGTGGATATCTGTTTTCATTGTTCTTGGATAATAACCTAGGGGTGAAATTACTGAGTCAAAGGGTAGGTGAATGTTTATAAAAATATACTAAACCTTTCTCCAAAATACTGTACCATTTTACACCCCATCAACAAAATATTAGAGTTAGGGTTGCTGCATATCCTCACCAACAGATGTCCTTTTTAAGAAATATTTGCCTGCTCCCCAGGTCATAAACATATTCTCCTGTGTTCTGGAAGCCTTCACTGCTAGGATTGTGATTCATCTCAGTGCGACAGGGGATCAAGATCCTTTTTTTTTTCTTTGCCCCATATAGGTATTCAGCTGCCTTGATTATGTACTTCTGTAATAAATACTGAAGTCAGGCAGTATTGTAAGTCTTCCTGCTTTGTTCTTCCTTTTCAAAATGATTTTGGCTATTTTAAGGCCTTTATATTTCCATGTAAATTTATTTATTTTTTGGCAGGGGGAGGCTCAAATATCCATATAAATTTTAGAGTCAGTTTTTCAGTTCTTCAAAAAAGCCTGATGGATTTATGGTTGGGATTGCATTTAATCTATAGATCATTTGGGAATAATTGACGTGTAACAGTATCAAGTCTTTCAATCCATGAACACAGTATTCTCCATTTATTTAGGTGATAATGCATAATTTCTCTCAGCAATGTATAGATCTTGCGTTTTTTCTTCCATTTTTTTTCGTTTTGAAACAGAGTCTTGCTCTGTCACTCAGGCTGGAGTGCAGTGGCAGAATCATAGCTCACTGCAGGCTTGAATTCCTGTGCTCAGATGATCCTTCTGCCTTAATCTCCTAAATAGCTGGGACTACAGATATGCACCACCACACCTGGTTAATTTTTCATTCTTTTGTAGAGAGAGAGTCCAGGGGGTCTCAAACTCATGGCCTCAGGTGATCCTTCTGCCTCGACCCTCCCAAAGTACCAGGAATTTACAGGCATGAGCCACTGTGCCCAGCCACATCTTGCATGTTGTTTGTTAAATGTATTCCTGGGTCTTTTACTTTTCGATGTCATTGTTAGTGGAATTATGGTTAAAGTTTTCCAATTGTTTGCTGGTGGTATGTAAAAATACACTGTAGTATGTAAAAATAATTTTTGTATATTAACCTTGTCTTCTGAGACCTAGCTAAACTTACTTATTCTAGTTGAGTTTCCTCCCTTACAATGTTCAGTGTTAGCAATGTATTAACTATAAATAGAAACAATTGTTGTTTTGTATCATTTACATATATATTTTTTCCCCTTATTGCTCTGATAAGAACATCCAGTTCAAGGCTGAGCAAAAACTTTGTTCCTGATCTTAGGATTAGTCTTTGACCATTAAGTATGATGTTAACTCTAAATTTTTTTATAGTGCCCTTTATCAGATTGAGAAAACTCCCTTCCATTTCTGGTTTCCTGAGGGTTTTTATCCTGAATGGGGACACATTTTGTCAATTTTTTTTTTCTGGTAATTATTAAGATAATCATATAGTTTCTCACTTATGAACTGTTATGTGGTAGATTACATTGTATTTTCCAATGGTAAATCGATGTTGCATTTTTGGTATAAACCTTGGTCATGTGTAATTTTCTTTAGTGTTTGTTTCTATTTCATCGTTTTCTGTTCTTTGTTATTTCCTCTTTCTACTTATTGTGGATTTAGTTCGCTCATGTTGGTAGATGGAAACTTTAGATCATTGTTTTTGAACCTTTTTTTCCTTTCTAATATAAACATTCAAAGATATAAATTTCTAAGTACAACTTTAGCACTTTTCACAAATTTTGACCTATTGGATTTTAATTATCGTTTAGGTCAAAATGTTTTTTATTTTCCTTGGTAATTTATTTTTTTGACCCATGGATTTAAAAAAAATGTTAAAAATATAATTTGTAAATATTTGGTCCTTTTTCTATTTTTTTTTTTTTTATGGTAAAAAGATATACATATATTTAGAATTAGCCAGCTGGACTCAGTTTAGATGATCCCAATTTTGTTGGCAACATCCAAAGCATCGTAATCAGAAGCCAGTCGAACATATGCCTTCTTCTCTCCATCAGGCCGAATCAGGGTGTTGACCTTGGCCACATCAATGTCATAGAGCTTCTTCACAGCCTGTTTGATCTGGTGCTTGTTGGCTTTAACATCCGCAGTGAACACAAGTGTGTTGTTGTCTTCTATCTTCTTCATGGCAGACTCAGTGGTCAGCGGAAACTTGATGATAGCATAGTGGTCCAGTTTGTTTCTCCTGGGGGCGCTCTTCCGAGGATATTTGGGCTGCCTCTGGAGTCGCAGTGTCTTGGGCCGCTGGAAGGTGGGTGACGTGCGGATCTTCTTTTT